ATTAGGTACTACTTACCTTGAAGAAACATTCCATCTCTTCTCGTTTACGAGAAAAACGAAATGTACGTCACGCGTATAACTTCTCGAACTTCACTCCAGTCGAAAAAATTTCATATCTACAGAAAAATTCGGGAAGCTTAAAAATTTGGATTTATAGGTTTTTGAACACGCTCTACAAGATGAGACCATAGTACTATCATGTTGTGAGTATCGGCTTACAATAGTGAGTATCATGGTAGAATTAATAACATTCTTAAAATGAATTTTGTATATAAAACGAACGGAGCAGTACACTAGTAAGAACATGATAAAATTAATAAAATTATATCTGAGAATTAGCATAATTTATAAGAATAAGTCTACTGTAATTCTACTCATCATTTTCATTCTTGAACGTTCACCTGTGGTTTCTTCTTTCATTACTCGATCATATTGAAAGCGCGAATAATTTTGTTTATATTTTTTCTGTAATTCATTTTGTATTCGTTGATCTGAATTATCGTGAAAAAGTAAAATGAATTTTTCCAACTTAGATAATAGCAATGATGATGAAATAATCTGTTCAACATCATCTTTGCCATTAGAGTAATCCAAGTCAAGATAGAATTGTTTCAGATTCGGTGTTAGATTGAATAATGCGTTCATGTTAAGTACATAATGCCTTCCAGGATTTGCCTGATAAAGGTAACTATGATGATTGATTGTTCGTAATGGTAGTCTATCAGCATTATCAGTATCATCAACAGCGGGATGGTTAATTATTCCATGCAAATACCAAAGGTTTGGTAAATATGCGAATACATTTTTTAAAAACATAATAGAATCAGTAGGAAATGGTACTAGTGTTAATCGTTGTATATTTAACATATGAAATGGCAATGATAGTTGAAGAAATAATTTACGATTCCCATACAATTTCAGTGTTGTTAATGATTGAATTTGATATACACAATCGAGAATTTCATTAAATTCTTTCATGGAAAAATCTGCGCCAGCTTTAATTGATGTGTACTGTAATGATTGGTGCTGTTTTTGTTCAAACAGAAATTGTTTTAACTCATTCGAATCGGCATTTCTCAATGATTCAATTGTCAATGATTGTAATTTAGAAAATGAACTAATAAATAAGTGTTGCTCTTCAGATGAATCATTTGAAGAAAATGTGTATGATCGAATGCATGTGAGATCTATCGATGTTTGATACAATCTTTGAGCAAATTCAACTGATTCACGTTTTCGAGTACCTGTGAAATGAATTGATAATGGTATTCGTTGATCACAAATGAGATTATTCAACCGATAGTTTAAATTCCAGAATGAGGTAAATAGTTCATTGATAGGAAGATATTCGAATAACTCCAAATAAGTTTCATTTGCTAAATCATTTATTGTTGTTATTGCCAACATTTTTGCAGCATGTATGTATGTGTAACATAAAACACAAGAGAGAAAAAGGAGACAATTCAAATGAATGATAAATATGAGTTTATAGTTAGATACATCGCATATAAGAAAACGCTCGAAAGTGCCACGAATTTCGTAAGAGTCTTATGAGAATCTGATAAGACATTTGTAAGAACTTCATAAGAAACTGCTAAGAATTCTGGTATTATTCTTATCTGTTTCTTATGAACATCTTATCTGGAAAGCAGTCCACGTGTTGACGTAAGAGGAGAACAACTTTTTTCGTTTTTCTAAGATGTAGACTGGCGGTGCTCTTTACTGCACGATGAGAATAAGGTTCGAAAAAATTAATTACATACGGAGACAATAAAGAGCACGATATCTCACATGTTTGCATAAATTCCGTTTTTTCAAACTGATCTTAAGCAAAATACGAAGCTTTCGATCTTTTCCCTTTATAAAAGTGGCATTCAACTCGGACTCTCTAAGTGGTAGCGCATAGAGCAGCTCAAGTACTAGTAATATGCATCAAAATCCTTTATATACCTGTCCTGATAAAGCACAAGAAGCTATCACAAAAGAACCTTTCTGTAGTACTCACATGAGTCACCATCGGATAGCAAGTTATTACACCCAGTACTACACATCACATCAAGATAAATAAGAATAATGTCAAAAGTCTTATCACTTTCTTACAAATCTCTTATAATATTCTTATTAGACTCTTACGAAATTCGTGGTACTTTCGAGTGTTTTCCTATATAAGATTATTATAAGATACAGATAAGATTTCCATAAGAATTTCTAAAAACGTTTTGTCTAGGGCATGGGAAAAGGAATTGATAAACAACCAGCGTGAGTCATCCATTAATAGGAAAAAAGATGGTCCAATCAAAATGGAGGAATGAACCTCTAGAATGATATTACACAAATATTAGAGTTCGCTCCGTATCAAACAACTAACTCTACGAATTATAGAAAATATTTTTATGACATCTAAGGTGGTGAGAAAGAATCATACAAAACGTTTAACGGAACAAAAATTAAAAGGATGTGCATTATTTCCACTTCCAGGTCTCGCGAAATGATTCATTGCAACTACATGTGTTTGTCACCGACTAAAACGTTTTTCATACTTTAGTATAAATAGGCCTCTAGCATTCGAATAGAACTATTGGCATTTGCTTCACATTTATCACATTTTTCTTCACAGAAAAGAGAAAAGATAACAGTTATATTCTCACATTTCGTTTTTCCAGTGACAAAATGGTGGAACAGAAAGAACAAGGTAGCGCTCGTCTCCACTCGAACGCCAACAGAATGCTTTTACTGCTATCAAAGTTACTAGTAGCTGGTAAGGAAAAAAATTAATGATGTCAAATTTAATGATTTCTATGTGATACCTACTGTCGGTGGCACTAGGGGCTTTCAGTGAGCTTAACGTTGCCCACCGAAATTTTTTCATCTCTTGATAGATCAAGGTTGGAACTACTTATGCACCAAAT